CTTCACTCAAACCATGGGAAAAGACAGTCTACTGAACAAGACTGAATGCTAAAGGCAAGAGTGTCATCCCTACTGTCTTATCAATGAACACGTGCCAACCCCATCATGAAAAACGAATTTCTAAAGTGTACAGGGTCATAGAGAATGGGGTGCAGCGTCTCATTGGTGGCTTGAAAGTTGTTCCCTGAGAAGTGGGAAGACCCTGAGCTTTATGTTATAAGACTTCTGGGTTCTAGTCTCCTTGTTTGCTCCTTACATTCTTGAGTAGCCTTTCTGTACCTCATTTCCTGATCTAAAAATAGTACGGTATCTAGCACATAGTGAGTCTAGAAAATCTGTGGGTATTTCCTCTCTTCCCTTTCCTAAACCAGCTGCATTGAGAATGCACACAGCTCTTCCTTTTACACAATTCTAGTCTAGAATTCTAGAAGAATTCTGTTTCCTCTCCACTACTCCATTTGTAGTTACATTTCCTTTTAAGCTGTGGGGAATTATTTCTGAATACATTATAGGAGCTATGGGACCAACTGCTTTGAGGGAGAATATAATGGAAACCTCGCATAAGCTTTGTATCCACAGCAAGCAACTGCTTGGTGGATCTTTTTGGAATTTCCGAAGGTAAACGTTTATTTAAGTTTAGCGTCCTACAAATAAACATCAACCCCATAAGTGCTATCTCACTAAGCCAAAAGATCTTCACTGTATTATATGTTTATCAGTCTATTATGTGCAAAATGAGCACAGTTTTTTTGGGTATGAGTTACTGGAACAAGATGTAATAAAGAAAGCAAATGGTATTTGAAAATAAGTGTGATAGCTAGTTTCATGTATTATCTTGGCTGGTTTCAAGTCGTAGTGCTCAAATATTTGGTCAGACATTATTCTGATGTTCTGTGAGATAAACATTTAAATAAGTGGACTTTGAATGAAGCAGATTGCCCCTGATAATATGGGTGGGCCTTACCCAATCAGTTGAAAGCCTGAATGAACACCAAGACTAACCTCTCCCACTAAGAGGGAAACTCTATAGCAGAAGGCTTTGGACCTGAGCCTCAGTGTGGCTCATTCCTGGATCTCCAACCTGCCGCCTACCCCACAGATGGACTTGCCCACCTCCACAGACATGTGAGCTGATTTCATAATGCACATCTCTTTCTGCATGTGTATGTGTATCCTGATGATTCTGTTTCTGTGGCGAACCCTGATAATATAGTCATTAATCCCAAGTACTCTGAATCTAACCCATTGAGGGGCTTCTACTCTACACCCTGCATTTGTAATACTGCACTATGCTGATCTAGTCATTTCCATTGGTTAAAAGCACAGCGTTAGAGCCACTGCCACATGGGGCCAAACCCTGACTCCCGCATTGATGAGCGGGTTGCCTCTAGGCAGAAAAGCACCAGAGAATCCCTGTGGGACCCGTGCCCTGTGGGGGCCTCCACTCCACAAGCTAAGTTAGAGCTATATCTTCCCATCCAAGAGGATGCACGTGAGATGGGCCTCAGCCCCACCCTGTGTGGGGGCTGGGTATGGTGAGAAAGAAACAGAAGAGTTAACAAAGTGTAATTTCAAAAATTAGCACCGTGTCTGACACCAAGGTTTCAAAGCAAGATGCCAACTATTGCAAACAGGACTGTTGCCAACTTTCAAAGAATGAAATTTTGCAAAAAAAAAACAAACAAACAAAAAAAAAAAAACCCTTGAGCCAAATTTATTTTCCTATAATATTACCAAAACGAAAGAGTTGATGGGTCATGGTGAGCAGCTGCAAAACCAGGCAGCTGGTTTTTCCTAAAGGAGGAAACCCAACTTTATGCCACAGATAACCTGGGAGGAATTGTTTGACTTTGCAAAGGGACACATTGCTTTCAGGTGGTTTCAAGTTAGCGAGATAATGCCGACTGACATTCAGTCTTGCAAGTACCTCTGTGGCACACCTGTTACCTGCTTCCTTCAACACACACAGTTTTGCCTTGTCTCAAACCAGCATAAGTGTCTGCAGTCCATTCCAAGCCTCTACTTCCCTGAAAGAGAATCTCACCGTATCTGGAGCTGTAACCACAGACAGGAAAGAATTAAATATCTGGCATAGTTTCATCTGAAATGAGCTGAGGTCCTTGCATTTGCTCACCTCAAGGCCAGTAGGCGTAGAGTCAGAAGACTGTTGCCTCACCACCACGGTACGGCCCTGGTCAAGTCACCCAGCCTCCACCGGTGGCAGGCACTTGGCTCATTTGTAGAGGGCGCATCAGTAGCTCCTTGCTCATTTGTAATTCATTAAAATAAAGCAAAAAGGAGAACTGTGAGGCAGCCAGAGGCAACCTGGATATCCCCCGCAGCTTCAACTTCTCCGTTTAGCTCTGTTTCCTGGTCTGCATAATACCACTTTTTCCGACATGCTGTGCACCAAAGTAGTTCACTGGAAACACAGTAATTAGCATCACAGATAAAATGACACTGCTGCATTGTTAATTACTACAGTGCAGATGTATCGCTAGATACCATACATAATGTTGTCAAGCCTTTATTTTTAAATTAAAGTGCAACAAACCATACCCTGACTACACAGCTTTTTTTGATTAATACAAATTAATGTTATTTCGGTGTCTAGGGGAAGGGTGGGGGTGGCGGGGGGTCTTGTATTTAATTGTAAGACACAGAGGCCAGTGGTAGAATGTCAGATGGATTTCCCACAACCTCCTTGGCCCACGTTGGTCTGTACATAATGGAGAGGGTGAGCTTTGTGAGGGCAGGAACAGTGTCTGGTTGTACTTACCTTGGTACCGAGCTTCTAACAGAGTCGGCTGCACTGATGTTGTCTTAATAACGGAATGGAAGGAGGGAATGGCGGAGGGAGGGGAGTTAAAGCAGTATAAGCAGAAAGGGCCTCAAAGTAGCATGGAGGAACTAGAAATCGTGATGGTATACTCCTAATTGCCCTGGTTTTGTGTCTGTTTTGTGGCCTTTGTAATGATCTTGGGAGCACCCCACATTTGGAGCTTTAAAACCCAAAGTAAGAAGCATCATCAAAATGCAGTAATCAGAGTGCTTCCTTGTGCCATTTCTGAGCAGCACTACATAGCAGCGGACGCTGGGAAGTGCGGCTGTGACCAGCAGTCAGTTGGCAGTCGGGGAGGAGGGGAATGCAAATTCCGTATATTGTTGATTTACTTCTCACAACCCGAGGGGAGTTTCCCCCCCAGTTTTTTATCATTATGGTAAAACACACATATAACAGGTACCACCTTAGCCATCTCCCAGTGTGCTGCGTGGCATGCCCCTTGCTGGCCACCAGCACCGCTTCCCTCTCAGGACTCCTTTCAGAACTGAAACTTGACAGCCATGAACAGTAACTCCCATGTTGTAAACCAGGGTTACCTCAGTAATAAAAATAAACAAACCATTATTGAGAAGGAAGGATCTCTCACCATCGTTTTGATGATTGTTTCCTATAAGCCTTATAGTTTTTTGCTTCTCTGCTCAGGAGACATGTTCTGGTTTCTACTTTAGTGTTAAGAAAACTGAGGAGTCAAGAAACTCAGTGAACTCCCCAAGGTCACCAGGAAGCACACTACAAGTGGTTTGGTGCAAGAGTCTTTGTCCTACCTACAGTGTGTGGGTGTTTTCCAAGTACTGCAAATTGTGGCCAAACATATGACTCAGTCTCTGCCTTGTTTCATGGGGCATGATTTTCCTAGGATCATTAGACAGACGCCCATCTCTAGAAATGCAGGGAAACCCAGGAATCATGCTCAGGTGTGCACCTGGAAACGCTCAGTGCTGCTCCCCTCTAAGCTGCCTGAGTCCACAGGTGCCCGGGGGTGACGTGGGTTGAATCTCATGGTTCTGTGCATCATACCATTGAAGAGAATTACAGGGGCTGCTTCGGCTCTGGGACCTGCTTTCCACCCAGAATGCATTTGGCCATAGATGGTAAATAGGATAGCACGTTGTATGCCATTTGACCCAGAATTTGCCTAGTGAAATATTCCTGGATCAGTAAAAGTATTTTTCCAAAAGGATGCTCATGATAGTAATTTTTTTATACAATAGTGAAAAACTGCAGGGAATATAAAGATTAAACAACAAGTTGGGTATTTTTATAACAATGAAGTGTTCTGCAGCCATTTCAATGACATATTGCAAAGATCAGTACTAGCCTAAAAATTCTCATGTTAGTGAATAGACATGTGGGAAAAGCCATTTATCTCTTTATACACACACACACATATATATATATGTGATCCAGTGTATATATATATGGGCATATCTCGTTAGGAGTGTTAAATATAAATATTCCTTCGTGAGAGATCTATGCTGACACACCTGAGAGAAATCCAATCCTGTCAAAAAGTGAACGAGGCTATAAAACAGTGGTACTCCCTTTAAAAATCATAATAAATCGATAAAATAAAGTAGATCTGCTGCACCACTTCCCAAAATATTAAATAAATATACCACAATATGAGTGGTGGTTATTAGTTAATCATAGAATTGTATCTGATTTTTATTGCCTTTACTGTCCTGTATTTTACTGTCCTGTATCTTCCAATGCCTATCTTTTAGTAATTAAAGTGGGGCTTTGTATCTTACTTAGTATTTTTCTTACAATAGTGACAAACTGCAGAGAATATAAAGATTAAACAAGTTGGGTATTTTTATAACAATGAAGTGTAAATGTTACTTAAAGGTGGGGTCATGTCAACACCAACCTGCCTCCAACCTCTGTACCCCAGAGACTAGTCTCAGCTGATGAAGTCTCCTCTGCGTGCCTGCCTCATATTCCTAAATGATGATGTGGTCTGTGCATCACGGAGAATGCCCTAGAAGCCAGGAGGGGCGGGCATGTCCTGTGGGGGCCACTGCTCCTACTCTCTGTTTGCCCACAGCCGGGTACCTCCCTAAGAAGAGCAGCAGAGACAGCAGTCGAGGACCCCATCTGGCTGGGGGCCATGGGAGGAAGGAGCCTTACTGAACCATTGCCTGTTGCCTTGCAGGTCAGCGGCACCATGTACAATACTGGGAGGCACGTGTCCCTTCGCCTGGACAAGGAGCACCTGGTCAACGTTTCCGGGGGGCCCATGACGTACAGCCACCGGCTGGAGGAGATCCGGCTGCACTTTGGGAGTGAGGACAGCCAGGGCTCAGAGCACCTCCTCAATGGACAGGCCTTCTCCGGGGAGGTAGGTGGACAGCCTGAGCTGCATGTGCTCTAACGGCGCAGTGCTTGTGTAAACCCAAGGTGGGGTGACAAAGAGAAAGCTCTTCTCTAGTCTCTGAGACCCAAAGTTCTGTGCCTCCTTCTTCCCATCTGTGACAAAGAGAAAGCTCTTCTCTAGTCTCTGAGACCCAAAGTTCTGTGCCTCCTTCTTCCCATCTGTTCGCAAATTGGCGTGGAAGTCAAGAACGAATTTCCAGGTTTGCCAGGAAGGCCACCATGAAATGGCTTGTTTCTTTCAGAGACTGTTACACCTCACTGTGACTCCTGTCCTGACATCTCGCTGGGCACTGCTCAGAGCCCAGACCTCACCTTTTGTGTACACATCTTCTACCTAGCTCGGCGTCCTGTCTCCCAGATGTTACCATGTTAGCACAGAGTCTGAAATTCTCCTGGTCAGGAGAATGGGTCTTATTTGCATGAAGTTATAATGCACTGTGAAATAAATGTCAGGCCACTAAGTAGTCAGCCAGGTTTTATGCAGAGGGAAATGTCACCATGGCCACCAATAATGGGGAGAGTCACTATGCGCCACCAACGTCTCAGAAAGAATTCAGGCCCCAGCAGTAAACCAAACTAGTTTCAATTATAGGGTGAGAGCTAGAATTTAAACAGTTGTCATCTGTGTTAAGGCTTTTGACAGGCGGGGTGAGGTTAATTTGGCCTCTTACCTCTGTTCCACTGAGGGTGGCAGTGAACTAGGATTCAAGGGTCCTTCTATGCTAAATATCCTGTAACTACCTTTCTGCTCAAGTCCTTGGTAGCTAATGTCAAGAAGACTTTGAAATCAGAGAAGTATGTTGTCATTATCAGCCAGGTCTTTTTAATCTTTTTAAATCAGGATCATATTTAAAGCTGGCATTGTTCATCATATGGTGAAGCAATACACTGAGAAAGGACTCACAGTCTTTTCATTTCCCGGAGAAGGCAGTGTGATCCGTAGTAGTTTCACAGAAGTGGGATATGCCTCACCCATATAGAGTTTCTTCATGTGACTAATTTTATAGCAAGTTAAATGATCAAAGTTTGATGGGGGGAGGGCAGCGAGACATAATTCCCTCTCCACTTCGTTCAACTTAAAGGAAAGCCCCCCACCCACCCTCAGATGACCCAAGGACTGGAAAGGCTGGTCCACAGGTAGAGACCCAGTGACCCCCAGCACATGCTCCACAATCTGGGAAGGGTGTCAAAAGCCTGGTCTGGGGCTGGCCGCCAGGCAAAATGTTCTCTTGTTCCTGGAATCTCATATACAAGAAAGACAGCATGGTCCTCACCTGGTTCAATGTGGGGTACAGGAAGGAGTGGGCAGGGATTTTTGCTCCCGAAGATTCCTTTGGATGGTTGTAGGATGCAACAAGGTCATCAGAGGTCTCAGAGGACAGGGCTTGGTCAGTGCCGCCTCCATGACCTGGAGACAAACACAACCACAGAGACACACCTACCCGCTCCCTCTTCCTGTCTCTGTCTGAGCTGGGTGCTGCTTCTCAGTGTGGCCACCACCACCTCAGATAAGTTTCTAAAAGACCCTGGAATAAAAAAAAAAAAGCCAGGCAGAAATATGTGTCTATTTCTTTTAATGTCCAACTCAACCCCACAGCTCAAAACTGTGGGGAGAGTAGGCTCCTGATCTTAATGGAGCCAGTGGACAGATTTTAATGATAACTCACAATACACCTGAGAACTCACTTACACTCTGCTAGTTCCAGTGATATCAGTGGTTAAGGGGGAAGAAAGACGTCTACCGTAGGGGAGCCCAAAGAAGCCTAAATTCAGACTATTCAACTATAATGCCTCACAGTGACGGAGAGGTACTGAGGCCGCGGCAAAGGCAAGGGAAATGACAAGTTGTGCTTGAAGGGGTCAGGAGGAGCCTCTCGGAGCAGGTCGGGACTGAGAAGAGAGGCCGTGCAGAGTGATGTCAGGAGCATCGCGCTGGCCTCAACGGATTTAGGTGTGTACCTCTTCCTGTAATACGCACGACTTGTGTGGCTAGGGAATGGCTACTTGATCCTTCTAAAATTGTATTTACACATCTCTCAGGGTTATTTTGGAAATTAAATGGGACGCTGAAAGTACTCCACACTTGCTAGGCAACTAGATCGAGCAGAAAATGAGGGACAGAGGCGCCGTGGTATGCAGGCACTGAGTACTGGGGAAGCTGTATGTAGATTTCATCTGTGATCTATTAGTAGTGACTGCATGGAGGACCGATTGAGCAGGACCATCAGTCACCTTCCTGGATCTGTTGGGGGGAGGGGATTATTCTGGAATTGATTAGGGATGTCTGCCAAAGGCTTTATCATGGTAAAACTCCCAGGAGTGGCATAAGCTGAACTAAAGTATAGCAGAGCAAAACCTCCTCTCTTGAGGGTGACTGGAGACTGCCCCTGTGAATTAGAGAATATTCAAAATTGGATAAACTCTTCTTTTCCAAATATATGGTGGTTTAAGATTTTTAATTCCTTTCCTTGTTGATGTGATTGCTCATTTGTTTGCTGTGACTTCTTGTTTTTTCTCCCCAACTGAACTGTCATTTCTGGTGTCTATCACAACATTGCCTCAGAGTAAAAATGCATTTATCAATGAATTAAGTGAATGGATGTAACCAGAGTTGGTTACCAGGCTAAAAGCTCTATGTACATTGTATGATTCCCTAGAGTTGCTTTTCTTTGCTTAGATGATAAGGGTGTTTTGTAACTTGTGTATAAACTACCTTTTTGGAGAAAATGAGTGCTTGTAAACTTCTTCAGGGAAATATAATAATTTTATTTTTCAATACATTGATGTCCTTAGACCTACCCCATACCCAAGTTATCTGGTTCTCCAAGGAATCCACATTTTTAAAAAAAAAAAAAAAACCTAGGCAAATCTGAAGATTAGGTTTGTGAAGCACATTATTAAGTGTTCTCAGTGAAGAAAGCATTCAAACAGTTATAATTCAGAATTAACTGGGGAACATTGTCAAAATATTTATCCCTGAGTCCTTCACCAAGTCAGCTGAATCACTCTCTCCAGGAGTGGGATCCACATATGCACATTTGTAAAAATTCCCCAAGACATTTTTTTTAAAGGTCAGTAGTGTTGGGTTTTTTCAGATTTATTTTCTTTCTTTTTCTTTTTCCACTATTATATTTTTTATCTTTTTACATCATTCTTCATTTTGTGCTGTTTTCCAACTCAGTTGTAATCCCCATGGGCTTCCCACCACCACTTCACCCATGTGCCATCACCATTGTCCAGTGCATTCATCCCACCCCCGTTCTGATCCCATCATATTTATTGTCCAATATCATTGTTAATTTTTCGACAGTACTTGAGGTGTTAGTATTTCTCCCCTTAGGTGTCACCCCCATGGTAGCTTGGCTCTGCCTGATTTATCTCCATTTTTTCAACAATAGAACTTCCTCAGTAAAACCAAATTGCAAATAAATTTAAACCTTTGCATATGACAAAGTTGGGTGCCATCTAGCCTGGTGGAACTTGGAGAACAGCTGCACACAGCTGTCCATGGCTCCAGAGAAAACTCAAGCAGAAAACTCAAGTAACCTCAGCACAAGTACTTGACCTTGCCCCAGGTAGACCACGTCAGTCATGTCACACTTCTTTCCAAGCCCCTTGGTGTGAGTGAGCTATAAACTGGTGTGGGCCTACATATAAGAAACTGGAATATTGGAAGCACCAAAACAAGTTCTTGTGGAAATCAGTTAGCTAGGTGTTGGCCCTTGGGATATTTAAAGGGTTTTAGTGATCAAGAAAGCTTTGGCATCTTGTAGGCTTATGAGGGAAAAGACCTACAGCCAATGGATGGGATTTACAGAAAGATGAAGTTCAGCTAAATATATGGTCTAACAATGGGGGCTATCCATCAGCGGAATGAGTTTGCCTTTGAAAACAGTAAATTGCTGTCGCTGGAATTACCAGGCATGGAGTAGAATTTGAGGGCCTCATAAAAGTGACTTACATCCTAATGAGCAGGTGGACCGCTCACTTTAATACACCTTCTAATGTTGAAATGCTACAGTCCATGATTTCCTTTTCGAAAATGCCCCCTAATCGGATTCTAATGGAGACTTAGTCTTAGTTAAAGTAAATACATCCTGACCTGCAGGTTAACGTTTTATTTTGATTTCAAGCTATCTTAAAGCCACCGTGGGTCTCCAATTTTGGTGATCTGCTGAAATGACCAAAGTAGACACTCCTAGCAACAATGCATATGTTTATTTTTTTGACAATGAATGATCGCATTGCCACCTGCCCCATCTATCATTGCCGATGGTGATAAGTCAATTAATGCCAGGCATTTTCCTTGGCACAGTGCAGGAGTCGTTATCTGAAGAGCTGTAGATTAATTGCAGTCTTGTCTAGTGAGGTTATTGTAATTGATGGTAATCATTTGCTTTGTTTTAAAAAGCTGGGTGAATGTACGACACAGTCAGCAACTGCGTTTTTATAAAAATTATTCATGTCCTACACAGAGCACTCCTGGGTGCCTTGTTGGGGGGTGGTGATAAATGAGCATATTCAGGGATTCACATGTCTTGATTTTTTTAAGAGGGGAAAAATTAACTGTTTTTAATAAGGAAGACTCTTAGCTTGCTAATCATGTCTAAGTGGTTAGATTAATGTCTAGTATAAAGTAGGGTATTTAGGAAAAGAAACAAATACATTAACTAGACAAAATACAGTATTTGAAAGAATCATGCCCGTGGATTAAGTTCCATGAGTGAGGCTAAACAAGAAGAATCTTTCTTGTTTGGGGAGAAATTGGAAATATTTATTTTTAAAAGTCTTCCTAATGTCCTTCCTTACAAAGGAGTAAAGGAGCGCTGAAAATTGTACCAGCCAGCCCACAGGGTGCCCGTAGCCAGATTGTCCTGATTTTTTAATCCATTCTCCACGTGCTATTGTTCTCTGCTGTGTGCTGAGCACCACAGCCCAGCTCCCACCCAGAGAAGCATTCAGTTT